CTTTAAAACATCACAATAAAACGAATTCAAATCAAGGAAAGCTAGAGAAGGCTTATATCTGTGGGATCTTATAACCAGATGTATTTTTGGGTTTACAGATCGATGAGCCTATAACCAAGGGGCTTATTATTAGGTGGGGGGGCCTATAAGAGGCAGTTTATGTTATTACGTTTAAACACAATTACAGAACAGAATTTGACTGCAGCCTCAGCACTACTGTCAATATACTGGTGTCTAATATGTACTTTATATAAGGATCCAATTTCATTGATTGCACCTCTGTTTCCTTGATACACTGTTCAAGATGTTGACAGACAGTAATGGGTACACAGTACTCCTTCTGATGTCTCTTAATGTCATCAATAGTATCAAGCTGAGCTAAAATCTATGAGGAAGAAAACAACCTATCAGTCATAATTAGCAGGAACTCACATTACTAGGTAGCAAAATTAATCTGTTCTGTAGTGCAGTCAGTAATAGTGCAAGCTCTTCATAGAGCTTGGAAAATACTTAATCACTCTTTTTCCATTTTTTTTTAACGGACATCTATTGAGTAAACTTTCCATGTGTTTTCCTGGTCTGTAAATCCAATACTTTATTCAAAAATTCCAGACTCTTTAATATGAACTCGTGATAGACTCTATTAACCTTTCTTGTGACTTCTCTCAATTCTCCTTGTTCATCTCCGACGTAAACAAATAACTTATCGAACAGCAAAAATTAATCACTAACACCAATGCAACATGCAGTGCAAATGTAACCAAGTAAAAATAACTACCTGGGCATGTAATTCTTCTACTTGTTCTTCAAGGTCTTTTGGGACTTCTTCAATATGAACTGACACTTTGGTTTGGGGCTCTATCCAAAAAAAAAAACAAATCAAGATGATTGGAAATAGCTATAGGCAAGTACATTATTTTGAATTCATAAAGTATAATTTTGAGGAGCCTACATAAAAGAGAAAATATACTGAGTATTTTTGTGACAATTACCTAGGCAAGGTACATGTTTGTCACAATTTTTTGGGCTTTATAAAGCCTCTAAAATAAGTTGTATCAAGCCCAGATTGACCTTCCACAAGTTTGCTTTAAAATTACACTGTACATAAACGTTTGCACATGATGAACATCTCTGAGCCAAACAAAACCAACTGAATCAGATGACACGAAATTGTCCAAACATCTATTTAAACAAAAACATGCAAAAGTGAAACTCTGCTACCAGACACCTCCTGTTCAACATCAACTCACCTCCTGTGAGCAGATACTTCTTTGGTCCAGCCAAATCACACAAACATCAAATTTTTAAGCTGCTATAAGTAGACACCTCTCCTTAGTCTACACACATTTCTTGAGTGTCTGGACACATTTGTGAAGTTCAGTTGTACTGTAGTTTATTTAGAAATTGAAAAAGTTTCTCACTGACTTACAAACTGAAGTTTACATCAACAGTACAAGTTACATTGAAATAAATTTCTAACCAACTGGAATGTTAGCTTCTAACTCTTCTGCTGCTTTTTGCTCCTCTTCTCGAAGGAGTTTGGTCAATCTGTTGAAAAATCAAGTCACACAGAAGTGTTTTTGTTCCCTGAGTAATATAAAATGTGTCTATTTATAATCATTATTTCAATAAACACAACAAATTCATGGAATAGATAAGATTGATTCACTGATGTACTCTGCCATTAAGGTTGCTATTACAGACTTCTGCAGGCATCTGTAGTCAAAATACTGTAAGCCTATGGTTTAAATAAATAAATCTTTAAAAAAGAGCTGCCCAGATAACGAGAATGACTCATACCACTACTAATGAATTGACTAGGCATTGAATTTGGCCACACACACACACACACACACACACGCACGCACACACCAAAAACTATAGATGGAATACACATGGACTTGTTAACGTCAAGATCTTGTCCATCAAGATCCTGAAGTTTCAGCCAATGAGTATTTGACAGTTTCAGTGAAGGTTATTTATCTACCTTGCATTTTCTTCTAACAGGTGTCTTGCTTCCTTTTCCAGAGTTTCAACTCTCTTTTCTTCATCCTTCAGTTTATCCGAGCTGGATGGATTTTCTGAGAGACTGTCAATGTGATGATACAGCACTTTGTGCTGTGATGGCTTTTGTGTGTCTAACAAATATGACATGTAGCTGTCATACTCATCCTGTGAGTAAAAGAAGAAAAAATCTCCCCATAAATAAATCAATATACATGTAATCAGTTGTTATCATTTGTAATAAAATTTCTCCATTTAATGAATGGATTTTCTGAGAGACTGTCAATGTGATGGTACAGCACTTTGTGCTGTGATGGCTTTTGTGTGTCTAACAAATATGACATGTAGCTGTCATACTCATCCTGTGAGTAAAACAAGAAAAAATCTCCCCATAAATAAATCTCTATACATGTAATCAATTGTTATCATTTGTAATAAAATTTCCCCATTTAATGGGGAAACCTTTGCCTGCAGTACTTATCACAACTTTCATAGGTCTTAAACTATTCTTATTAACACTTAGTCAAGTACTCACTTTAATCTTTTTTAAAAGAGGACCGAATGTCTTGGACTCTTCAATGATCTCAGCAAAACATCTGTTGTATATCTGAAGTCTGTGAAAGTTTGGTCCCCTCTGACTTGCTGATTCCAGGGAAGATAGTTGCTACAATTGGCAAAAAACAATAAGTTACTGGTAACAATCAAAATATTTCTTTCAAGCTTTCATCTCTCCTGTCTACTGGCCTGGAGTAGCAGATTTCTGTTCTAGCCTGTACTTGTATATTCTATCTATCAATAACAATTAACATTTCTAATGTCACTATAGTATTCTCCCCCAAAACAACAGATTGCATTGGCTAAGACTTAAATAACAGCTGTATACATAAAATTCACTGTTTCACACATAATAATCTGTACTGTTGAGGAATGACTACCTTTGCAAGCTTGTGTTCCAAATTTCGAACATTCTTTTCTCCCGTGAGCACTCCTCGATCATGAGCATCTCCGAGATGCATTACCAGGTCACCAAACCTCTTGAAGCTAGCGAACTGGTCTGCCTTGGTTGGGTAACTCAGGTAAGTCTCAACAAATGCTTGGTGCACATCTTCTGGTTTTGATTTCCCAGGGAGGTTACCAGCTGGAGAACATACATGTTGTTTAATAACTGATTGCTCAAACTCTACTTATGGTAAGGCATTTGCTTAGTATTAACAGGTGGATACATTTTTAAAATCTTTTATAACAAACTGAAAGTAAATAATGATGCCACATAAACAAAATATCACTTAAAAATAGAGCTGTAACCAGAATAAGACATATTGTAAAAGAAGTGAAATGTTCTCCAGTTGAAAAGATTTAAAAACACAAGCTTTTGGCTATCAGTCTATAGCCTTTAACAAATAAAAAATGTTGTTGGGTGAATGGAAATATCACTTATACTATAGATAGTATCTGGCCTGATGACTGGGTCTTGTGCTATATGCATGTAAAAATATTTATGTGTATTATACCAGACCATGAGATTTACATGTAACATTCCTCTAGTATATGTATTTTAACATAATCATACTTTACATTCAGGACGACGAGAGATAGAAAACAAAAAGTTACACAAAATGTTTCAATTGCTACCTTTGGTTTTTGTCATTGGTATCATTATTTCTGGCAGACGCAACTCCTCAACATGTATTTTGTCTTTGGCAAGCTTGCCTGATGTATCTGTACCATCTTTTAAAAGCATTTCTTCAACATCGTCTCCTGAGGCTGGCCTTGATTCTGGTTCTGCCAAATACCAAACAATAATAGAATCAACCAAAAAGTGACAACAGGAATCTGGCTTGTGGAAAAGATGCACTACTGTAACATGTATTGGTAGGTCCTGAAGAAACAGCAGGCTTTTTCTTCTTGTGGTCAAATTTTGAGTATATAGAAGTCTCGTTATCAAGTAAATTATTATCTTGAACTGTTACTTACTGAATTGTGCAATATTTCTCGTGGGCCCCAGACTGAACTCCACAAGACGATCTGCCATGGTCTTGTGCCTGAGTTCTGTTGAGCTGCATTCCCCTCTTCTCACTGGGTGGTCAACAAGTTGGTTTGGCGACTTGAGTCTGTAATTATTATGGAAAATGTAACTCACTACACAGGTCTGTAACAGGATCACAACCCCCCACCCCTTTCTGCTATCCTTATAAATGGCTTTGGGTTTCACCAGTTGAACACAAAAAAAAGGTAGGGAAAATTATCTTCAGAAGAGGCAAAATGTGTAGAAAAAATTTCATGGTTATTACTCAAAGTCTTCACTTCCGTTGTCTACTGTAGGTGTGAGTCCTGTTGTACTAGTTTGTCTGAGAGGTTATGGGACAAAGAAAGTGTTTAGTCAGTCAGTCAAGAATCCCTGTAATATCCGCGCACCTTCAATATGACCATAATTAAAGGTGTACGGTTGGTTGTATAACTGGTTTCCACTGTATCACTTTATAGTGCTAGGATCAAAGTCTCGATGTAAACAATTTACACTGACAATTGTACATGTGGCGCGCAATACAGCTTACGTACCGAATTGGTGGTTTATCTGAAGTCTCCCATCTTGCATGACGTTCTCCTGGAGGTTTTAAAAGCTTGCTAGAATTAAGATGACCACTTGTATAGGTTTTGATATCCTTTCTGTGAACTTCGTATATAGTTTCAAGCAAATCTTTGAGAGACGAAGGTTTTCGTCTGTCGTCCGCCATGTTTGTTGTTGCTCCGTCACCTTGGAGGACTCGCCCCAGATCCCACACAGACTTGGTTCCTAAGCCAAAATGGCGACTGGAAAGATGCCTCGAAATGCACTTTCATTGAAACAGGTAAAACTATCGAAAATAGTTCACTTCATGGGGAAATATGTTGCCCATATTGTAGCTAATTTATCTGCGGTCCGTCATTTATGATGATCGTGTCTTTTTATCTCGACAGTTCTTTCTCAGAAGACAAGTTTTAAGCCTATACCGAGAAATTTTACGAACCTTGCGAGAAGTTCCTAATGAAGATCACAGAAAAGAACTCGGCGATTGGGCAAGATCGGAGTTTAAGAAAAACAAAATTGAAAAGGACGAGGTAACTTACACAGAAAAGTAACAATAGAAAGTAATAGTTCATGTTTCAGGCGAGGGCTCTCGCCAGGGCTAAGCTAATATACACCGGGCTGCAGACAATCATCGCTGTACATGTTAAAATAGGTATTTAGAATGTACACGTGTCTAATGCCGTTTGAGCTGAAACAGACAAACAAAAAATATCGGTTCCTTGGTGAGGAATAATGTGACTACTACAGGTCATGTCGGAAGCTGCTGATGATGGGATGATAGGAGCTGACTATACTCACATCTGATGTTAAGCAAACCAGATGGGAAAGAGAGGTGGAAGAAAAAAAGAAAGGGCTATTTTCTGTGAAACCATAAAACAACCAGAAAACTTCAAAAGTGGTTGTGCAGGATCAATCCCCAGGGGGCGGGGGGTTATTCCTAGAAAAGTTGGGTGGGGGTGTGCAGCCCACTTCTCAAAACCCTTACCTTATTTACCCTTACCTTCACTTTCACCTTACCTTATTTATGACCAAAATCTGCGATATTCCCTACCCTATTTATGACCTGACCAAATATTCGATACCCTATTTATGAACTAACCATTTAATTAAAACCTTGTTTCAGATCTGCATTGTAATAAGTTCCCTAGTTCAGACCAATGTTAAATTACCGTAAACATAATTTGTGAAGGGCTTTTGTTGATTTGATAATGATGAAAAAGTAGCTTCTTCTTAGAAATATACCCATATCAAGGCTAGAGTGCAAAAACCATACCCTGTTTATGACCAAAATGGCCAAAATAGGCTAAAGTCGATACCCTATTTATGACCAAAATGGCTGAAAAACCATACCATTTGGGGCCCCACATACCTATATAGCTCATGTAAGGGAGTACCCCCCCCCCCCGATCAATGAGGACAGTGCCTGGTCCAATACTTTGAGAATATTGGACTGGCAAAGGAGCAATCTGATTGGTTGATCTCAGGTATTGGCCCTCTGAACCGACTAAGTTGTGTATAATATTAAAATCAAAAAAACTTCTGACTGCAACTGTGCCAGTGATTCCATTATCCAGTTCTGTAGTGTAGAGTGAAAATAATATGCAAATGAATACCTATATTTTCCCACAAATTTTTGCATTTTAGCACTCAGGATTTCTGGAAAGTAAAATGTAAAATATTAAATCTCTTATATTTAGGGATTTTAGTGTATCTATAATTGTTTCATGTTTTTACGTGTCATTTGTATTTTGACTCACCTTATAGGCTTGCCAAAATACATTGCAAGACTCAGAGAAAAAACAGTGAGGCACACTAAAATGTCTAATAAGATGTATGAATCCTTCCTTAGATTGTAATCAAGATGATGTTGTCCCAGGGTCGACTCACACTGAGGGAAATTTCCTCTGCTATTCACCTAGCAAAATAAGCTCTGCGAAAAACCTGTGTCTCAACTGTGAAAGGCTGTTGATGGTGAGTCCTTGACTCCAGTTACTGGTTTATGCAAACAAATGGAACATTGTGCAACATGCTGAATTATCAAGAGTGGTGAGAAAATAGATTTTTTTCGGATGAGTTCACCAAAAGCATTTGGAAAGTTAAGCCAAGTCTGTATTGTGGTTATTAGTCAGGATGGACAAGATTCAAGGAGATTCAATGCAGGGAACACAACAAACTTTTGTTACCACGAGCGAGTCCCACACAAGATACTCATGTACATGAATGCATGTATAAAAACTACATGTAAACTACAACAATCTGATTCCAAGTCAAAATCCAAGTCGTTATTCATAGCATCTCCTCTTGTTCTAGCATTTTAATTGAGAACTATTCTTGAGTCAGCATTACTATTCTTGAGTCAGCATTACTAATACTGAATGGAGTGTAACATATAGGCTACCCACATTGCAATTTAGGCAACACAGAGTGCTTTTAGGCTAGCTGGTCTGTTGTTTAGGCCAACTGCAGTGCTATTTAGCTCGGAGCAATTCCTGCGATGAGTTGCTCATTTCAAGAACCAGACTTCTAGGAGAAATCAGAAGGTGAGCCAAGATTAGTTACAGCAGTTACTCTATCTACACATGTTCAGAAACTGTTGTCAAACTTGAACACATGTGCACAATCAAATCTCTGGTTCCAGATTTTGATTTTGTCTAGGATATTGCATGTTCTGTCACAACTGACCAAAAACACGCCCTCTGGAAACAAGTTTACTCTTGCCTACCCATCACCATGTTTGAAAGTTCATGGGGAGTTAGAATTAATACCGCTAACTGACCAGCAAGCCAATGACTCAGGCATTTGAATCTGTCTTGGATTTGTGGGAAAATGGAAAATGTGTTCTTTCTCCATCTAGACGTGGTTGTTAATGACATTAAATATTGAAAATTGAACTGGTAGATTGAGCTTATAATCAGGGATAAGCATCAACTTGAAATTCTCTTCTTATGTCAAGGAAACATTAATCAACCATGTTTGTTATTTTAATTATGTTTATTCTTTTAATTTATTTCTTGACTTTAACCTGACCCTGAGGATATGCTGCAGTTTTACCCCACCGCCTGGAACTTACCCACCCACTCATTGTTTCGGAAACAGAATTCTAGCTGAGATTGTACTAAATTATTTCTTGTATCATTCACATCATTATTTTAAAATTCAGTCGCTAGATAATAATTATTCATACTCAAACTAACAGAAAGTACCAAGAAGGGTTAACATTCTTTACAAGAAAATGGACATTGAGTCCGAACATTTGGGTACTCTTCACAGTATCCACTCTTAGCATATTCAGGACAAGCTGGGTTGTAATCTTTGCAGTCTGTTGAGAAAAGAAATCACCATGTTTTCATATTTATCTCTGATTTATAATTTTTGTAGTTTTCTGAATATATGAAAGATTCTAAGTTTAGTTTAAGAAACAACCACCACACGTCATTAGCATCTAGTAGTCTGTGGTTCTATTTAGATTGTTAATTTTTGGATATTCTTGATCATCATTTTTAAGATCTATACAAGAAGTTTTAAAGTACGAACCATTTCAGTTCATTATTGTATCAAACAAAGTTTATTCTAGCATAACTTTCCACACCTAGCCTCTTGGGGTGTCTGGAAATGGTTAGAAAAAATGGTTGTACATTATCATTACTTCTGTTCTTTCTTTCCTTTTTAATATAAACTCTTGCCCCTGCCTCGATTAGTACTTGAACGAGTTGCCGGGGCAAGCAGTTGTAACTGTATTTAAGAAAAGAGAATAAAGTTAAAGTTAATGTTTGAAATGCAATCAAGCCCTCCTACACCTCCTACAAGAGAGCGGTTTTCAATTAAAAGTGTCGTGAAACCAAAAGCAAAGTAATCACTCAAGCCAATCACAAAGGACACAGACAATACAGCACTTAAACCAGTCAAAACTCGAAGTAATTAGATGTTAGCTGACGCAAAGTGCGGGACAACGTGTGCGAATAAGTCACGATTTCTGTTAGGTTTTAGTTCTGATTGGATGAAAAAGTGGCACAAGTTTTTTTAAGCCAATCGTGTAGCGTAGTTGATGAGAAAACAATTACTTTTCGACGCTCAACTGAAAACCGCTCTAGAGTAAAGGCCATGAATATCTTAGGTGTTAGGCGAACGTTTAATAATCAATTCAATGTCAAATCATGTATATAGAATGCTGATCCCAAGGACCTCCGCTCTTGAGCTGGCTGCTATGCATACAGCATGAACTTACTAGGTGTAGGTGTTGGTCCAGCCTGGGTCATAGGCGTGACAAGCTTGTAAACGAAATTCCTTTTTCCTCTTCCCACACAGACTGGATGTTTAGGCTCGCAGGGCATGTTGGGATTCGGTCCCATACACCCATTGGCAGCTCCATCGTGATCATAACCAATGCCGGGTTTTGCTCCACTCCAACATTCGCCGAAAAACTGCAATCCAAAATATGTGAATCCCTTGCTTCTTGTTGCATTTGCACAACTGCATGCCAAGCTGTGGAAGGGAACAATCACAAAACGAAAATATTTGTACATTTGTTAATTTAAAACAACAAGTGTGGAAGAAATAAAACAACGGCTAAGAGAGCAGATCAAGAAAGTTAGGCGAAGACAAGCAATAAATGACTCATTGCTGCAAAATTCTACACTTAATGATTTTTTGTTGTTGTTGAAATTGTTGCCCATCACTTGTGAAAACGATTTAATGATCGATGTTCCACTTTGACTCAAACAGATAGGTTTCAAAGCAGCGCATAGCCACGAATCTGTACCCTGTGTGGCTAAGTAACGGTCTTTAATAGCTTGGCACAACCCTGGGTATCTGAGACTTTTCCTGCGCGGTTTCTCGCCCAGGTCCAGCCGCGTGCAAGACAAAGCCTCCAGTACTTTGAATGTTGTGCCTGATTGGTGAAAAACCAAAATCTGGGATGTGATCTGATTGGTTTGCACTTACAGTTTGTCGAAAAGTAATTGGTTTTGCATTACTTCGCTACACGATTAGGTTCCTGAAACAAAATCATCTATCGCGCTATATTTAGAGTGATTTCACTTGAGTGTTGAAAGTAATTCGGAGTTGCTTTGCTTTCACATTACTATGCTAAGCGATTGGCTTAAAAAAAAAAAAAAAAAAAAAAAACTCGCGCACTTTTTCATCCATTCAGAAGTAAAACCAAAACCCATCTTGACTCGTTCGCACACGTTTTCCCGTGCTTCGCGTCAGCTACCTAATTGGTTGGTAGATTAGATTCTTTGCGATTGGTTATAGTGATTGTTTTGCATGGTTTTGCTTTACGACACTCAATTGAAAACTGCTCTATAGAACATAACTGTTAGTCTTGTAATTGGAAAACCAGTTGAAGAACCTCCACGGTAAAGTACCATTTTAAAGCAAGGCATTGTTCACTTGCTTGTTATGCCTCACCGTATGATAAAATTCTCCCAGTCATTCCAGTTGTCGTTAAGCTGGTTTCGATAGTTCAGCAATAGCACCGGGAGAGGTCGCTTGTAGTCTTTAAAACATCCCTCTTTGACAAAGTGTTCTTCGCATCCCTCAAAACTCCCTGAATGATGAAGAATTACAAGGAAAAACTGTTCTGTAATGTGATCAATTAATTAATCCCTATTGATAGTGAGTTGCCTGGCGGTGTGCGGTTGTTAACAAAATGGCGGCCGCTTCTTTGCGTCTTCAAAGTGTCTGTGAAAGGGATTTAGATAAAGTTTTGAAAGAATGATAGATTTATACTAAAATAATTAGATCATTTACTCTCGATTTCTGTGCTGTAAATTCGAGGTTAAACAAAGTTTGATACAAAATGGTAATCTAATATAACTATAGCTCCTTGGACAGGAACAAAAAGCGACCTGAAGTCACTACTTGCGCTGAGCCTCACTCGTTATCCAAGTGATGAGCTTCAGGGGCCAAATTCGCTTGGCACAACATTATTCAGGTAGAAACTTATTCCGTCACAAGAATTTTCTCTCTCTAAAATTACAGTAACGACATTTCAGAAACATGAACTCTTGACATTTCTTTGTCCATGTTCTTTTGGCCGGCAACAATAGCATAAATTAAGGCTATTTATGTAATACACAAGATTAGCGTTTTCACAGGGTAAAACGCTAAATACTCTTGGTTATATAAAGAGCCCGCATGTTACACATTGCTTGCAAAAAATTTGAGACGTAAAAAATTTGGGACGTTCAATTTTCGGTCACTTTTTGTCTCATTTCGGACAAATTTAAGACAAAAATGTATGGCACTTTGTTGAAACGTACCTAAAGTAAATTTGCGCCAATAAAACACGAATTAGACTGAAACAACATCCGTGAAAATTAAGCCTGGTTCACACTAGCGACATAACGACATAAGGACATAAGGAAAAGATCAGTTTTATCTTTATGTCGTTATGTTCATGCTGTTATGTTGCTAATATGTCATGTCTACATGTTCACACTACAAACATAACGTCCTTTTTACGTCGAGATAACGTCCTTTTTATGTCGTTCGTGACATAACGACATAAGGAAAAGATCAGTTTTTTCCTTATGTCGTTGTATTCATGCTGTTATGTCGCTTTGATGTCATTAGTTATGTCAGGATGTTCACACTGCAAACATAACGACATAACGTGACGTCCTTCCTATGTCGTTATGCCGTTAATATGTCTCTAGTGTGAACTAGGCCTAAAAGTTAAATATGTCACTCTTGCACTTACCGGATACCAAAAAAACTGTGATACTAGCAAGTGTGAGATACAACGTCGAGGAGAATATGTTAATCAGTAGTTGCATTGCTATAAGAAAAAGAAAAAAATAAAAGGCGACAACATAAAACAAAGAAACAGACAAAGAAAAAAATTTGCAAACTATAAAATGGAAAATATATTTCACTTGACGCTTAGATGTTTATAATTAGGCAAATTGGCCGTGGTTAACCAAGCAACCCACTGAAAGCAAACCTAGTTTAGACTTACCTTGATTATTTTCAGTTTTTAAATGGTTTTAAAAAACTACAGAAGCAGCCCACTAATCAAGGCAGTTGTCATCGCTTATAAGGATGCTATCACGGCCGCGTTATTTCACTGTTAAAATACACTGAAAAAATACTTACAGGTATTTACTCACGGTAAGAATCTTTCTAGTACTCCTGTTAGAATCCGGGTAGAATCAAATTTACGAAATTACCGCCTAAAAGTTCTTTTTTATCGATGTATGTTTTTGACTCAAAACGCCTGTGCCAAATCGTGACAAGAATGACGTTAATAATAATTTTTAAGCCATAAACACGAGGGGCGGGAACATCTAATAAATGCGACAAAAGCAAACGTTTCGGGAAGAATCTAGAAAATTACTGCCTGGAATCCTGAGACTCGAAAAATTTTCTGCCGGGAAGTAAACTAGAAATACGGCATGTATCAACGGATCAATGCATTGCAAATAATAACGGGAACATTGCACATAATTAAGAAAAAACACGAGAACACTCGTAAGTTTCGGTGCGATCGATTGAAATAGCATTTATTAAAGTTGTCGCCTCCAGTATAAATAAGCTCTTAACGCAACTTATTACGGAACTAATGAAAAAAACACTGATGACGCCAAACACAAACACTAACTAATCAGGAATAGATCGTGATGAATGGCCTAAAGTGTTATAGCCCACAACAAAATTGCTTGGATGAATATGGACAAGATGATGGCACAGTAGATAGATACCGGATGAAAATATATGTGTTATCATTGCTCAAGGCGCTTTACATTCAATTTATGGGAGTACGTATGGACTTAAGCTGAAAACGCGCCTCAGTGGCTAACACACATCCAGTTATGTGATCTCATGCACATGGCCCATCCTACCTACATTAAGTTAACTAGAGAGAATTACTAAAGGTCTCTACCCAAGCGAAGAACACGATTGTCCATGTTGATATAAAGCCATTTATCATGGAAGAGTAGCAAAATTTTACCAGTTGTTAAATTGGTCCGGTCTGAAATGGAATGGA